TGGCAGTTGACCGGAAATGTGGCCGAAATCCCGCTACCCACGCAGATGATAAGCTAAATTATTAGTGAGTATCAATTACTATTGAATCATAGTTATTTACCTGGTCAAATGTCAAATTGCAAATTAACATAAAAAAAGCAAATTTAATATGTTCCACTATGCATTTTAACACTAACCTTTACCGAAGGGCATTCTTGCACAGCGTTCTGCACTTTCTTTAGAGATTCACGATTGGTGAATACTAGTTTCGCACCACAGTCTTGAAAATGACGTCTGAGCTCATCTGAAATCATTTATAGCATTATTCTAAGTTCATGAGGGACCCAATTTTTGTTTTGTTCTTTTTTATAAAATCTCCCTCTCGGAACTACAGTATAGGTTGACGCATACTTATCCGCCGTTCTTTTAGGAGTATTCTACCATGTTCCCTTGCTTAAGAAATGTAATGAGGTCTTCTACTCATTTGTATCGCTTACATTTTTGAAAAGAAGGCGGACACCCTGGCAACCATCCATCACAGCACATTTTGGTAGTCGGAGGGTGAGGAGAGGAAGTGAATTTGCTCTGTCTTAATAGATCTTGTGTCTCAATTCATCAGCTGTGTTCAAAATAGATGTCTGTCTCTTGAAGACAAAACTGAGAAGGGTTCGACGATCGAGTTTCAAACAACGGCCGATCTCTTCTTGTTTATAAAACATGGCAACTATGTAAGTTGACGATCCTAATTATGACCAACTACTTAATGACCATGCGCAACATTTTGCGGTCTTAAAACTTTGGAAAAATATGGGAAATTACTGAAGTGCTACCATATTCTTTGAAAATAAGAAAGCATGAAGACGTTGATCGCCTTTGTTAAGATCGCTAAGCGCTGTTACCTATATGGAACTCTCTAAGTTCTAGCTAAAGCGTTAAAGTAGCACACAACTTGTTCCTCGTTCGAGTAAAAGTCTTTGCAGTAAATTTTTCCGCATAAAAAATACAATAGAAGTTTGTAGAAAATCTCCAGTGAGTTGGCAGTAAGTTTGATAAAGTTTCAAGTTCTTTTTTCTACAAAAAAAAAACACATTTTTAGTGTGGTTTTGCCATTCCCCAACACTTCGCCGCCCTCCCGCTCTCACCAGCAAGTCACTATATAATCAGCCTAAATCCGACCAAGCAATTAGAGGTGCGGATGGTGGTGGGCGGGCGACAGTGCGGAAAAGAGAGGTCTTCCCCCTCAAATGT